TACAAGGAAACTCTTTAGAAGAATAATTCCTATTATAAATCAATTAATGACAAATTAAAAGAATTAAAAGCTACAAGGACTCTTCCCTTCTTTAGCTCACGGTATATGAAAACTTGTGGCACAAGTTTTATTAATTCTCGTACAATTAGAATCCATGGGATTCTAACAAGTTGGCATGTAAAATATAAAAATAAATAGATTAAAAATAAATTAGGTGATGTGGCTAATGAGTTGGATGGTTTTGGAGAAAAAAAATTAATCCTCAATGTCAAATTCACCATAATAATGAGGAAATTTTAACATATTAAATTTATATATTTAATTTTTTTTGTTATATTTGCAATAAAGAACCACAATAAACCCATTGAATAAAATCTACAACTATTTTTTTATGAATGAAATAAGACTAACTGATGTTTAATTAATATTTCTTAGTTTTTATTTGATAAAAATATTAATTAAATTAATATTTATCTAAATATTTCATTTTTTTTACAAATCTATACTTAGTGATTACAATGAAATTGAACCAACAATTAAATTCAACATAAAACCGAAAAAAAACCTTTTAATAAACCTTGTTGTAAAGTTAAATGACATGCACAATCATAATTAGTATAAGAAATCAAATACACATTTACGACTTAACCAAAAAAATAATAAAATATATTCAAAACTCTATTAAATTAAATGTACCAAAAAAGTATTATAGAGCCTTCAAACATAAAATACATTATCAAACCAAGAGTAACAAATATCCATAACAAGTAATAAAATATAGTTAATTACTATTTTTATCAATTGAAAACTATGAAATATTAATTAAAAAATAGTTATTGCAAGAATGCTTATTTCATTCATCAAATAAAAATAATTTGATGGTATATTTTATTTCCCTCCAATTTTTTTCAACTCAGCAACATCACCTAATTTATTTTTATATTTTAAATCTCAACTCATTCAACCAACCATCACATTACCTGTTATAGCAGGTCAAGGACCAAACTCAACTTTTATAACTTACATGACTAAAATTCTGATTTTGAAACATAGTGGACTAAAACTCTCAACTACCAAACTTACGGAACTAAAAAAACGGGGAAATTGGCTAGACACCCCTTATTTTGGACTTATATAGGTGGAGGTCCATTGTATTAGATGAATATAGGTGTAGGTCCTTTGACTAATAAAATAAAATAAAATTATTAGTGTATAGACATAAATAACCCTCAATTAATATTTATATGTAAATAGTTATTTTGAAAATTGAGGGAACAAATCCCACAAATCTCTCATTCTCTCTCTCACACACACACACACGGTATCTACTTCTCTCCCCATGCCCACGCCCCACCGCACACATCAGCGTCTTTTTCTCCATTTGTATTCTCTAATAGCTCTTTCTCTCTCAAGTCTCTAGTTTTGGTGAAATTTAATTTTTCATTTCTTCTTAAAAAAATTAATTTTATTTCCATTTATTTTGAATATAAATTGTTATTTCGTATGTTTTCGACAGTATTGCATTTTTTTTTAATGTTTTTCATTTTCTAACTGGTTTTACTTCAACGAATCATAAAAAAAATAACAAACCAAAAAGAAATTGCAATATATAATATAAAACTGCATATTGCTATTTATAACTTCAAATTACACAAAGAATAAACATCAATGAAAAGAATAAACATCAAATAGTAAACGGCAAACACAAACAATAAATAACAAATAAAAAACAACACTGCCCCTAGCGTATTTTTTACTCGTGCAATATGAAATAGTTTCAAAATACGAAATACAAAATAAAAGATGTTATAACAGACACCAAAAACATATTTTTTGTCTAGTAGCAAATTAGTACGTTAAGTACAAAATACTTCAACATACAACTTCTTTGAACACATTTAATGTGGTGTTCTTCGAATTTATGTCGGTTGAAGATGTGAACAAGTGAAACGAGGTTTAAGTGAATATTGTGGGATTGAATGATCTTCTGTAATAACTTGTTCCGTAAGGACTTTGTTTGCAGTCTGATTTGCTCTTATTTTCTCCCTTCAGAAGATGTTGAAGAGCCATTTAATATCTTGTTCCTTTTTTTCGTTGACGTGGCTGTTTGAGCACACACAAAATAAAACTAAATAAGACTTTCAATTGCAAACAATAAATTGCAAAAATGAACAAAAAATAGCAAATTGCAAACAATAACTGCAATTACAAACAAGGAATTCAAAGTGTAAACAAGGAACAACAAACAAGAAAATTTCAAATAGAAAATTGCAATTAAGAAATTCAACGTGTAACAAGCAACTGCAAACAAGAACATGATGGTTCGATTGCAACAAGTAACAAACTGCAAACAAATAGCAGGCCACTTAAACATCAACAAAATAAAGAAAACAAGAACAACAAAATGCAGACCACAAGAACAACAAAAAACAAAAACCCGATGGTTCAATAACGCACAATAAAATGCAGCCCGCTTTTTGTTTATTTTAAATTCAATTTACATTCTTTTTTGTTCTTTTTGATTCTATACAAACAAAAGGCTGGCTTATGCAATTCAAAATAGGTTTGCCTTATGAAATTTAACACAACTAAGTGCAAATCAAAATTTTCAGTAAATGATTTTTTGAAAATGAAAAACCATAAATGAGTTCTTCAAAGTACCAAGAAAAATTAAAATAAAAAATTTAGTCTTTGAACAAAATTGTTAAGATGTAGAAATTCAAAACGCTAAACACTTACTGAAAACAATGTATAATGCACACACCAATCATACAAAATTATAAAAGGAACGGAACACAAAATTAATAAAAGAAGAAAAGTCAAAATCGAAAACCCAACATACAAACGCATAACAAAAAAATTCTTAATGCACACACCAATCACACAAACAATTTACATGATCATTATTTACCAAGACTTAATCGTGCTTTGACCATCTTATGAATTCCAAACAGCAAACGTTATACACCAGCCATCGTTTATGAACAATAAACAATTGGGAAATCGCAAACGAAAAGGGGGCAAACTGGTTCAGCAAACCAAACAGCAAACGACCCTGTTAATTGCAAACGCTCAGAAAACGTAACCTATGGAAGATATCGTAGTTTGTGGAGAGATTTTGGTATTGAAGAATGGGTAAAGAAATCGATTTCCAGAGATGTGGAATTCTATTTCTCCGATTTGCAGTAATGGTTTAGTAACTGTTAGGTCAAACGAAGATGGGAGAAAAATATGGGATTTTATGTTGATAATTTATTTTACCATATATTCATAGGGGTACTTTTGACACATTACAAATAATAAAATCTGCTGGAAATTAAAATTTATTAGATGGATTTTTACACATATAATCTCTTATAGGAGGACCTATAGCAAATTACCCCCTAAAAAAACTCATGTTCCCTTAGTTAGAGCATCCACATCCATGGTACATTTTAATTGCGTCAAACTCTACTTTAAAGTAATCAACATTAATTATTCTTTTGGTCATCAATTCTTAAAAAAAAAAAAAAAAATTATTTATTTTTCTGAAAGGCATTCTTTCAATATTTCATATTAATTGCACTAGGTCATCCTTTGCTCTCAAATTATTTTTAATTTGTTAATTAAGGTCGTGTTTTTGAAAAAACTTTTGCAAATGATTATTTTTAAAAAATATGCTGCTTTAAATCATAATTGAGAAACGCATTGGAGTTTGTTTCTCCAATTTAAAAGCACTTTTGTAATGAACTAATGAATGCATTTGACATTTTTATCCATATTTATTTTTTTCCAAATATTATTTATTAGGACAATTTAGGCATTTCACTATTTGCAAACACGTCAACTTCTAAGGCAGTGTTTGTAAAAGCTTTTAGAAACAACTTCTGAATCTGTTTGTAAGTGTTTGCAAAACCATTTTTTGCTTTTTTCTTCTCTTAAAATGAGCCGTTTTAAGCTATTTCTTAAAAGCACCGCCAGACCTACCTTTTCTATTTAAATTGATTTTCCAAAATATTGCAAAC